CTGCTCCATATACATGAGAACGTACATATGTATATGAGACATTTAAATTTGGAGAGATACGCCAGCTAATATTTCTGTTACCACAAAAAGAGCATGGATTTAAAAAATAAAAATCAGACTGCAGCTAGGATTCCCATTTCAAGCCCTGACTGACATATTTAACATTGGAAATCACACACTTTCCTTTAGAAGTACACAGGAGGAGAACTAGGGTAGCTCTGGAGTCCGAAGATGTGCAACCTACGGAATCCCTTGAAGCCTTCTAACATCTAATGCCTTTTGAAAGCTCCTTAGCTCAAAGTATCCACCCAGCTTGACCCAGCTGAGTCTGCAAAATTTTTAAGAGAGCAGATTAAATTGATATGATGGAAGACTACGAAGTGCTCAGAATACAAATTTTCCAATATGCACTTTACTTTTGATACATGTGATATCTGTAAGAATACTCACTTGCTAACAAGTTCATTAAGCTTCCCATTTCTCCCCACACAGTTTATCATACACACTGTACTGAAGATACATGCCAAAATTGATAAAGGCAGTATTTATATTATCAGATAAACCTAATTGGAAGTCGGAACTGATTACAACACTAGATGAAAGATACTTCGGTCTTGGCTATGCTTCAAAGTAAGTATGGAATATTTTAGGATATTAATGTAAAATAATTCCTTTCAAAAGGACAGTCCTACAATGATTTTATCTAAAGAGGAAACAGAGCATTCTTGTTCCTGAATGAGAGTCCACACATGGGCTTAATCAGGAAGAATTTTGTGTAGGCAGTGGAGAACATCAGTAAGCAGTTTTCATTTTAATTAACAATTTACAGTCTGAAGAGAAGTAAAAAGACATTTTAATCTACTTACCCAATTTTCGTTTTCTCTTTAATTTTGGACAAGGAACCAGTTTTCGGTTTTTTGCCCTCTTTGTCCTTTGGTTTGGATTTGACTTTTCTGCCCTTCTTTTCCTCTTTTCCTTCAGCTGAAACACTGGGGAAGTTGTCAGGACTCATTACTCGTGGAATGTTTCTCTCTCCTCTCTCTTTTGCTTTTGCAATCGCTTCAGATATTATGCGATTTGCCTTCTCCTGTTTACTTTCCGAGTCTGCTTTTCTCTTCTGCTTCCTTTCAGACATTGCCCTCACCTGGGTATTCTGTGATTTAGTATATGATCCTGAACCATCAGTCTTCTTGGAGGAAGGAGGCTGTAGCAAGAGATAAAAAGTAAATAAAATCACCTTAATTTAAGAATATAAACATTTCTTAAAAGAAAAAGTGCAAATTATTTTGATCTATGTAAAAAAAAAAAAAATCTAACAGCCACAGACTCATGCAGACACAAAAAAGAAGGAATTCTGTTTATACCATAGAATGGCGTGGGTTTCACAGTAACTACATCAATTGTGGGTTTTAAATGGCCAATCCACGTAATGAAATTCAGTAAAAAATGTCTTGCTAAAATTCTCTCAAGCCTTCTTTCCCACCTCTGCAGTTAGTGACACCAATCTTTAGCCTTTTAAGCATTCCCATATATTTGACAGACATCTCCAAATAAACGTTATTCTCAAAATCTGTAAAAGCAAAGAACTCTTGAAGGCAACAGCATCAGCATTCCGCCTTCGACAGGACACCAGGGCGACAGAGACCCCAGAGCAGACGCAAGACCCACAAGACTACCCCAGTGCCAAACAGCACCGATGCTCCAACAGACAAGATTAAAAAACAGACAAAAGAGCACAACTACACAAATATTCGCACAAAGCTCAGAAAGCAGTATCCCTTATTCAGACCAACATTCGGCCAGTGCCTGGCAGAAAACGCAACTTGTGTTCAATTTCAGGTTTTTCATCGGCGCCGAACCGTTTACGGATGCAATATTGGGATTGTCAGCCTCCCTCTAAACAGGCAGAGGACATGTTTTTGCTTCCCTCCCCTCCCCCCGTTCCCCTCTGAGGAATGGGAAGAATTTCCTATTCAAACAGCCAGCCAGCCAGC